ACAAATGGTAGGTCTCATATGTAGACCTTATATCATGTGGAACTTATCATTTATCTCTCATCTGTATTTCATTCTATGGAACACATGTGTTCCTAGCATTGCTCTATTATCAGTGGGGCTAAATTGATTAATTTTTGGAAAAGTTTCTAAATAAAGTAAAATTTTATTTTATTTTAATATTTTTTCTTCCTATGTTGGATACTTGGGCTATAAATTTAAATTAGGGATAATTATGAAAAAAAAAATATTAGAATTTGAGTTTGTAACAAAATAAACTATGTGTTTTTAATTTTATCAATTAAAACCTTAATATTGTAATTTGTTTTCAATCTAAATAATTTATGTATTTTCGTTAAGTAAAATTGATAAAAAAAAAAAATAGTAGTTTAATTCTTAAACTCAATGTAAGTATACATAAAGGGTAATTCTATTTACATACTACAAAATCTCTCAATGCACACCATTTCCATAATTTTTTGTATTACACTTTCATTCCTGTATCAAATTACCATTTTGGACATAATTCTAAACTCTAGACTCTTTCGGGCACCACCACCTACCACTAGTCTCCGCCGTCTGCTTCCATTTTCGGCCACTGTCACCGAAATCCAGCCACCATCGTAACCTCCATAACTTCCTTACCTCACTGGTAACCCCTTTCACTTTTGCAAACCTACTTTTCTCCATCGCGGATAGAGAGAGAGAGAGAGAGAAAGAGAAATCCTAGGGTTTTCAGATCTAGATCTTGGGTTTGTAGGAGTTCAATCATGCAAACCAGTTTCAAAGCTCCGATCTAGGATTTCAAGCTCCGATTTGAAGCTTCGCCATTGCAGATGCCTTCGATGAGAATTTTAGATGGGTTAGGAAAGATTGTTGTGAAGGGTGGGTCGTAATGTGTAATAACCCCACTCTGTGATTAGTTACTAACCCTTAATTACAAATGCCTAATACGTGTTTAAGAAGCGGAGGCAGGGCTCACGGCCGCAACTCCGAAACTTCTGAACAAGCACATTATGCAACATCACCAAGCGCTCAATTGGCGACGTCTGAGTCTTAAGGTCGGTCAAAAATGGGGTGTCTACAGTTAGGAAAGATTGTTGTGAAGGGTGGGTCGTAATGTGTAATAACCCCACTCTGTGATTAGTTACTAACCCTTAATTACAAATGCCTAATACGTGTTTAAGAAGCAATTATGAATTAATTGTGTATCTTATGAGTTATTTGTGTTTATATCTATTTATTGTAGGAATATCTGTCTGAATTTCTGCTTTGGTACGAAAACTAAAAGCCTTATCGGCATTCGAACTTGAAATTGACTAGATGTATGTGTTAATTAGAATTTTTATAGTATTATGGTAAGTTTAATTTGATTTTAATTGGGAATCAAATAATTAGAATAAACTAATTAGATTCAATTAGATATAAGGAAGCTTAATTAAACTTAAGTTAATTTAATTAAGTTAACTTAATCCAAGCTATAAATATGTGACATAAGTTCTAGAACTCATCTTCCGTCATCATTTTGAGCCTCAAATCGTAAGAGAGAGAGAGAGAGAGAGAGAGAGAGAGAGAGGATGGGATAAGAGTGTGATCAAAGAATAAAAAAGAAGGAATTGTAAAGGAATTAAAAAAATTGGCGTGATAGCTCAAAGAATTAACAATCTGGAACCCAATTAAGGAGTAGAGGTAAGAATTCAACCCATGAATTAAGTGTATGAGTCATCAAGAATGTAATTCAAGAAGTTTAAGTGATTAAACAAGAGAGTTGAGCTTTGAATGTAGAATTGGGAATCAATTCATGCATGCATGCATAATCATCCATTTTGAGTTTAATTTCCAACAACTTCTTACATGCAAGATCATATTTTGTTATGTCATGAGAGCTCACAATGAATTCACATTTTAATACTTCATTTGCTTATGATTTAAGGAGTTTGAACTCAAACATTGCATGCATGTTATATATATGCAAGTTCAAGCTTAGTTTTGAAGAATTGGCATGTTTTTGGGCCTTGATTTTGCGAAATGATCTTCAAATCATGATATTATACAATTTTCTAAGTGTTTTTTTGAGTTTTGGCCCAAAAAAATGAGTTTTAATGCTTTGAAATTGAGGTTTGTAGCTTGAAGAACAATCTGAAAATTTCAGAGTTCGCAAGGTTCACTCGAGCAGTGAACTCTTCACTCGACTGTACTTTGCAAGCTCTCAGAAGTTTTGCAGGCAGTGTAGGTGGCTTGAGTGACCAAAGTTTCGCTCGAACGAACTCACCTTTGTTAGGTTCATGGCTTGAGCGACCAAAAAGTTGGCTCGAGCCTAAAATGAGAGCTCCTAGAAGTTTTGCAGACTAAGGGGTCCGCTTGAGCGACCAAAGCATCGCTTGAGCGAACTGCCTTGTTTTTCAAAATTTTACTAAGTGTTTCAAAGTGTAAAATTGCATCCTCATTGTATCCCAGGCATTTTAAATCATGATTAAGTTATAATAATGAGGATAAGAATTAGAAACATACGTAGAAAGAAATACACCTGGAAAGAAACATAATAAGTTGGAACGTTTATAGAGTGTGTGTTTCAATGTGTATTTGTCACATGTTTGTGTAGGTCGCACGCCAGTATTCGTCTGATCTGTCTAAGCTATTTGTTTTGCTTCTGGAGCTATCTGTGAATAACAACTCTGTAAAACTATGTTTGATTATAAGTATTTTCTGACTGATAAGATATGATTTTTTTTTTTCCTGAAAAGCTATTTTGTGAATCATGAATGAATGTCCAATTTTCTAAAATGTATTCGTAGCATCCTTAGCATCATGTGCATTTATCATGTGTTATCTGTTACCTAGTACCAAGGTTTCACGTGAGTTTCATTCATGGAATTAATTATGCATAATCAACTATCTACTCTGTACGTGGGTCTTAATGACCATCTCAAGTGAATATGGGTCTTTATGACCAACTACTCTTTGCGTGGGTCTTAATGACCATCTCAAGTGAATATTTATGACCAACTACTCTACACGTGGGTCTTTATGACCAATTTGATCTGTTAGCTATTGAATGTACCACGTATAACTGTTTACAAATCTTAATATGCATAAAAAACTATTTCTGATTTGAATTTTGATTTCTGAATCTATTATGGACATTATTCATAAAACATTTACTCTGTTGTTATTCACTAGGCTCATTATTTTTATTATGTATGTAGGTAATCAGGCGCGTGACCAGGATTGAGGCTTCAAGTCTGGATCTGTTCTGTCAAGCCAACTACTATGCCTCACATGGAGGTTCCTGAAATTCTTTTGTGGATGAGTTCCATAATCAATGTTTTGTGATCAAGTCTTAAGCTCTTATTGTCTTTTGTTTATTTTGTACAAAGGGCTAAGTCCCTTTTGTTCTATCTGTACTTGTGACAATGTGTTGACACTAGTATGACGTCAAAATATATGTGAATATAAGTTTAAATTTTCTGTCCCATATAAGTTTGCACAACTTTATGGACATTGTATGTTTGATATTTGCTTTTGCTAGCCATTTATTTTGCTAATTTGTCTCAAAGGCCTTTGATAATCTTAGGATTACTTGCTGGTTACGACGCTAAAGCTATAGAGGGGATTTAGGTCGTGACACAGTGGTGATGGTGGGTTTGGTAGTTTTTAGAGAGAGAAGAAGAAGAAGAAGAAGAAGAAGAAGAAGAATAAGAAGAAGAAGTGGTGCGATGAGAGGTTGCGACGTCGATAGCGGGGAGGTGTGGAGCCACTGGTGGAGAGAAGAAGGGGGTGGAAAAGGATTTGGGAGTGAGACTAGCGGTGGTAAGGTTGGAGAAGTGATGAATAGAGAAGTGAGGAAGAGATTCGCTATAGAAAAAGGAGGAGGCGACGACTGACGGCGAGTGGCAGCGGCGAAGGTTATGGTTAGGGTTGGTGGGGTAGTTGAAGAAGATGAGGATATTTTAGGAATATTTGAAAATGGATGGTGTGCATTGAGCAAAAATAATAATGTCAAAATTGTGTTTAGTGTACATTGAGTAAGTGGTGTGTACTGAGATAATGTGCAGTGTGTACATAAAATCTCTTATACATAAAATGCTTAAAATATTATTTTCCAACAAGTATTTAAATTGATAAGATTAAAATTTTATTTTGTAAAAAAGCTTAAATCTTGAATTTTTTTAAAATATAAATTTTCCCTTTAAATTATAGACTTTTGGGACTATTTTCTTAACGTGGCGGTTGGTGGCTCAAAACGACATTTTATTTTATTCTATTTTTGGGAGTTGCAATGGCTGCAAGTTTATTGAAACAACCAAAAGATTCATTCTTAATCAGGGCTGATTATTCGGTATTTCGGAACTATGGTCAGATGGTATTTTATGATAATATTATTGGTGAAAAAAGTAGAGTATTAATTATTTGTGTTAGGTGACTGAGGAACGTTAGAGGATATAATAAATGGTGATTGGTGAGGGAATATGATTACGTAGTACTCCAGAACGAGCAAACATCCCCTGTCCCTAAATATTCCTGCCCCCTATATCCCAAATCACTCACAAGCATTGGATCATATAAGAATCCCAAGATTTGAGAATCTCAAGACATATATCCATTGATTGTGAGTAATTTGGAATAGAGAGATAGAAATATTTGGGGAGAGGGGATCCTTGGGGAGAGGGGATCCTTGGGCCTCCAGAACTATTGTATAATTTTCCCTTAATCAAAGAATACTATCCTCACACGTCCAAAGATATTAATAATTTACTTTTTATTATCAATTTTTTTGTAAGCAATCAAATAATTTATTTCTTCTGTAACAATTTAATTTGCAAATAACCTGCTCTTCTTGTTTTTGTTTGTTACAGATCATTCTGTATTTTTCAGTATAATTTATTTGGGGGTTTATATATGAACTAGATGATACCTAAAATTGGATTTTGATTATGTTGTAGGAGGGAGGAGGTGGCACTCATGATTTTTCAGAACTGAATGGTGGTTTCATTTTTTTTTTGATCAAGAAAGAAAATTTTATTGATGAAAAAAGAGTAAAAGCAGCATAAAGAAAAACATCGAAAAAGAGAGCTGTGGCATGTTTTTACTGAATAGCAAAACAAGATCTTGGTAGAAACTTGTATGGCAAAGGATTAAATTCATTGGGGAGGAAGGAGCAGAGTGCTTAGGTCTTTTTGAACAATTGCTTATGTTGTTAATTCATAAAAACCACCGACTTGTTGTACACAATTTTTTTCTCATTCTTTTGCTAGTTAAGATTCAGATAATCAAAGGTTAAGGGCCTAAACACATGAGCAGCTTTTGTCTCTATGAACTTCAATTGCTCTCTCAGCAAGTGCATGTATACAATCCAGTCTCCATTTTGCATAGGACTTGGCATGGGCATGACATAGCCAGCCTCCCCACCCCATGGGAAGTGGTAAGACCCAAACGTCGGCCTTCCCCAACCGAAATCCACCTTTGAGACTGGAAATTGTCTGCCAGACGACACCACAAAAGCTGGTCCATCGTCCTCTTTTCCACTACTACCAGCATATATCTTTGCCAGAGCTGGTTCAGGACGGTGAGCCTCTACCCAATCTATTAGGTCCAAGAAATGCTCCTTCGTCACTGCATTTTCCAAGCAGTCATGAACTGCCTCCGCCACCCAACTCAACGGCTTCTCCTTGAGGTCGCCAACTCTTTCCTTGCCAAACGGAATGGACAAAACGTTCCCAAAGTAAGCATCCATCAGGGTTGCCCTTTTGCTATCTGCATCTGCTTCTCTCAATCTCATTCGTCCATCTACTACAATACCCATCCTGGAAACCTTGCCCCTTTCAGCTTCCCTAGCAGCAACTAGTTTCCACAAAAAGGCACTAAATGCCTCAAGCTTGGTCTTCCCTCGTCCGCTAGTGCCATGATTGGCTAATGACTGGAGACGACTGAGTTGATCAGCCTCAATATAATAGATGCGACTTATCAGCTCATCGACATTGCGCTTCGTATTTTTGGGAAGTGGTGGTAGGGCAGAGACAGGCACATACATGTCATCCAAGAAGGGATCATACCATCCGGGCTGTCGAGGGCTGAGTATTGATCGTCCGATTGATGGAAGCAAAGACAGTTGTTTGTCATGAGCCATCTCTGCCCACGAGAGAAGAAACATGTTGGTGGAGTAAGCGTCGGCCACCCGATGGTCAAACGTGCAAGCCACCACTAGTCCGCCGCACTCGAGTTCAGTGGCCTGTCATTAAATTTTACCAATCAACTCTATGGCATTGGCATGCTTAAATGTAACTGCATTATCAGCTCTTTTATTGCAGAAAAACCAATGACAAAACATTCACAGTATATTGGTCTCATGATGGGATTCATCTCTTATGAATGTTTTGTAACTGATTGTTGTGTGTATTTTTTGGGGAAATTGCAATTCACGTGAAATATCGGTAAAGCTTATCCACTTTAATAATTGAAGTGATAATTTTTTTTATGATTTTGCAAATTTTTTTTTGTCTTTCAACTGATTTATAATTTTTCAGAACTTTTTTAGCATTCTTACTGGAGCGTATACTACGGGAATGAGAAAAATTGGAAGCTAATAATTTTTTTTTGTGTGGGTGTGTGTGTGTGTACATATTAAATAATTTATAAAACTAATTGTTGGTTTACAAAATTCAATATTCAATATTCAATTTTGAATTCTTAATTTTTGATTTTTGATTTTTTTTTCAATTTAAAAAAACATATTACAAATACATGACAAAATTAAAAATTAAAAATTAAGGTTTCAATATTCAATTTTGAATTCAATTTTGAATCCTTTCTCTACTCTGCCTCTAACTCTATCCTAGGGCCTCATTTTAACATTTGCAAGCATATTTGGAATGGGGCTGTCCCCCCTAAGGTTTCATTCTTTGCTTGGCTGGCCTGGGAAAACAAAATCAAGACAGCAGTGTTTATGCACAGAATTGGCATCTTAGATGCTTCTGTTTCTCTTATCTGCCCATTTTGTCGTTCTGAACCTGAATCTGCTGTCCATATCTTGCTTCATTGCCCATTTTCTTGGCTGATTTGGTCATCTATAATTAATGAGTGGGGGTTCTCTTGGTGCATTCAAGGATCAGTGGATGATCTCCTCCAATGGTGGATGACTATCAAGCTCAAAAATTTTGATAGGTTAATTTGGAGAGCCATCCCCCTTATTGTTCTTTGGTCGCTTTGGAAACTTAGGAATGATTGTGTCTTTGCAGAGGTTCAACCTAGTCTCTCTGGCTTGAGTGAAAATATCAAAATTAGAGCAGTACTTTGGCTGAAAGCATCTATTAAAGATCTTCCTTATTCCGTTGATGATTTAATTTTCAATTGGCGTCAAATCAGAGGATGTTCTTAACTGTTCTGAGCTGCCTTGTGTTGAAATCTGGGTTTGTATGGATGTCCTGTGGAGTTTGTTGGTTTTGGCTTTAGATTTGGGCTGCTAGCATGCTAATTGTGGAAGGTTTCTGATATGTTAAGGTGAGCAGGGTTGCTGAGATGACAGTGGCTGGGGATGGACTGCTAGTGTTTGGTTGTTGTCTTTTTGTTTTTGTCTTGTTTTGTTCTGCTCTGTTTGTTGGTTTCTCACCATCTTGGAGCCTCGAGTGTGTGCTAGCAGATGATTGGGTGTGCGTTTAGGTGCCAACCTATGTGTGTGTGTGTGTACATATTAAATAATTTATTAAACTAATTGTTGATTTACAAAATTCAATATTCAATATTCAATTTTGAATTCTTAATTTTTGATTTTTGATTTTTTTTTCAATTTAAAAAAACATATTACAAATACATGACAAAATTAAGATTTTTATTATTGATATTGATGAAAATTTTCATTAATTTATAATTTATTTTTGAAACTTCTTTTCAACTGAACTGTTATTTTCTTTAGATTTTATTTATGACAAATTTCACTTTATTTCTTATGGTTTGGCTCATGTGCAGATTACACCCTTTTTATTTGGAAACTACATAGCCTCTTGTGGTCTGTGAATTGAAATGCACAATCAAGCTCGTAATGATTTAATGAAAAAAATTAAAATACCTCTGTATATAAGTAACATAAGTTTGCGAACTACGAATATTTTCATCTTTTGTTTGGGTGACAAAATGTACTATAACCCCTGTTCTTTATTCAATGTGCGATTTACCTCTTGAAATTTGAAAATGACCATCTAACCCCTTGACGTGTTTCATACTTCCTGTTAAATTAGATGAAATGTTTAACAGTGCATTTCAATCCACAAGCCACAAGGATGCTATTTGGTTATTTCCAAATGTGAAAAGTATAATTCGCACATGGGTCAAATCATACAGGGGTAATATAAATTTTGGTTTTTTATTTATCTCAATGTTAATTTTAGAGAATTATTACAAATTCATGAAAAAATTTATAATTTTAATTATTAATATGCATAAAGTTTACCACTTTTTTTGTAATTATTTTTTAAAACTTACCTTGCATTGAAAATTCCCCTTTTATTTATGGAGGAGGAGGCTCGTGTAGCTCAGCACGGGTTCTGTTTTGATAATTCGAATTATTCATTTTGTTGGACATTTCATATATTTCATTCACACAAAAAATTAGCTCGATTCAGCGATCATAATTTATTCAATTTATCGCGTTAAAAATAAATCATTCATTTTTTTGCCAATAAACGATATAAATTGAATAAGTTAAGATTATTAGATCGATTTAATTTTTTTAGTGAATGAAATAAAGAAAACATTCAACAAAATAAATAATTCTAATCATCCGTAACGAACCCACGGAGCCAAACAGCATAATCTGCCTCACTTATTTGTGTATGGAAACAAATTCATTTCCTTGCATAGAACGAGTGTTGATTTATGAAATATGCATTGGGTTGGGACCAAACACAGGTAGCACCAAAAGAGCAAGTCAATATAAAAATAAACGACAATGCTACGTAACTCAAATTTTGTGGCTCAAAAGTAGCTTAAATGGCCAAAACGACGTCGTTTTGAGTACAAAACAACATAAAAATGGCCAAAACGACGTCGTTTTGGCCATTTGAACCACTTTTGAGCCACAAAATTTGAGGTACGAGACATTTTCCAAAAATAAAAAGTTATGATAGGACCCTCCATATAGCTAGGGGATTGTAGGTTTCAAAATTTTCTATTTTCTTTTTCAAGTATACTCATAATCATTCATCATGTACCAAAATTTATGTATTTCAAAATTTACATATAATTTAATAATTAAAAATAAATTGGGATACGAAAATAAGAAAATTTGACTCAAACGTTGATTTAACTCAACAATTTTTTTTTCATTATTTTTGTTAAATTGTTTTCCAGTAGAGATAAATGTATAAGTCCCACATATTTATTAATGTGAATCTATTATATTTTATTTACTGATAAAAAAATTTAATAAAAAAATCCATTCATATATTAGATTAGTGTTTTGTCAAAGAGTTAACTTCATTATATTGACATTTAGATTTTTAATGCCATTTTATAGTTTAATTAAAAATTTGTAATGTGTACTTTTATTGAACATGTTAAGAAATTTAAAATATCTTTATAATTTTTATTATATATACTTTGGGAAAATATTCCACTCATGTATACTCTTCTTGAAGGGCATTTTTTTCTTTGAGCAAATCTTTCAAGAGTCTGAAAAAAGCAATAAAATTAAATAATATTTCAATCTTTGCTATTAAAAATTCAGATTTTTCCCAAATAACTACTAAAAGTGAAAATCCAAGTTCGACAGCTCTAATTTTATTAAAAATATTAAGAAAATAGAATTTTAACTTTAAACTCACTTATATGTGCGTAGTATTGAAATATATTTGTAATACAAATTTTACTCAATTTCAGATCCATATGATAGTAAACCAGATATAGATTTTCTTTATAAACACAGTATTATTACACACTATTAAAATTAGAAAATTTTAAAATTTATTATAGAATTTATGATATCAAAGTATGTGTTGACACCTTATTTTTACTAATTTTAAGAAAATAATAAATAAATAAAAATATTCACTTAGACTTTACTTTTTCCCCTTTTTTCTTCCCAGTCCAATATTTGTTCTCGAAGGTCTTCGCTTCCGTGTAAAAGAAAACTCTCCAAATTTATGACCAACCTTTCCCTCAGTGATCTTACAACGAACAGGAGTTTTTCCATTGTAAATTCGTACGGAGCAATCAACGAATTCCGGCGAAATAGAAGATCTACGTGACCAAATTTTCCTGTTCAAAAGAAGATCTCTCTTCTTCTTCATTCTCAACAGGAATGCATCAAGAAATTTTTTGGTTTAAATTTTCTTAATTCAATTTTTTTTAAAATTGAATTTTTTTTAATTTTTTGTGTTATTTAATTTTTTGTTAATTTTTTAAATATTTTAAACAATTTTTTTAAAAAATTTTTTAGATACACTTAATATAAATACTATTAAAAAATATAATATTTGTAAATTTTAAGAATTCACTAAATACCAAAAATATAAAAAAAAATGAAAATTTAATATATTTTCATATTGTTGTGCATTTATTGATTTTTTTTTAAAAAATGTTTTACCTTTTAGGTAGATCTAGGTTAGGTATATGTAAAAGGTATTAAAAAAAAAAGTTACTTAAAATATTAAAAAAATTCACTAAAAACAAAAGAAAAAAAAATGAAAAAAAAAATGCAATTTTCAAAACATTGAGTTTAGAAATTAGAGCCAAACAAGGTGATTTATATTTCTTATTATTATTTTTTAATTTTACAGGATAAAATGAGGTTTACAAGATCACATTAAACATTTCATGTATAATATGGGAGTTTTATGCATAGCCCTATGGAAAACTCGAATTGTACAACAAGCTTGTTGGGTGAATATCCAAATACATGCCGAACACACATTCAATACCTTTATCCAAATGTCACTTGTGCGGCACGAATGCTTCACTTATTTAGAAGAATTCATTTAAGATAGAAAAAGAGACGAAAAAAGAAAAGATGAAATTGAGATAAGGAAGCAAATTCATGCTCTTTCGTTTGAATTGCACTAGGTTGGGTCAGTTCATTAATGTGTCTCCATGATGATATAGAGAGAGATTGAGGAATACATGTTAATTTCCTTGCAGTTTATTCCAACAACATTGACTCTTGATTCAGGAACAATGAAGCTGATTTACTAAATTGTATGGACAAGGTGGGGAAATCTTATAGGATATATAAACTTTGATTTGCTTTTGATTCTATGCTTTGTTTTGTAGTTTAAATTCACTAGTCATGAGTTTTCATATGTTGGTCACATAGTTTAGTTATGTATAGTTCGACTCACACGGAATATATAAAGGCATGAATCTTGGTTTAAATTTAAAAATTAGTAATTTTACTAATTTACAAAAAATTAATTTTATTCAGAATTGAATTGTGTAGTGAAAATTGAATTGATATAATGTAAGTTCCACATATAAAATAAATTTAAATTATGGGAGAGTTACTGATAAATCCCATAATGTGAAATGTTGGTGCAATTAGTCCTTAAATATTTTTATTACTCCGTTTGGTCCTGCGGTATGTGTAACTTCCTGAAATGCCCTCGTTTGTTGGGTTATGTGTGAAGACGTTTTGTGTGAATTTGTGGCGTAGGGTTTGATTGGGTGTCACGACGGCAAAAAGCCTTATAGTAGTTTTTCTTTTGTTGTAGTTGTACGACGATGTAAAGATAGTTAGATTGACTTTTAGAGTGAGGTGTGTTTGGGTGTCACATTGGGAAAATGCTCTATAGTAGTTTTTGTTGTGTTGTATTTATGAGACGGTGTGACGTCACACCGGTTGAAACCCGACTCGGCTGTTTTGGCCCACGTGTTACGATATGAAAATCCCCAAATCAAGCTACAATGTTGCTTAATCCCCAGATTTTTGGTGTTGCCGTTTTCATGTTATTACAATTGGGTGTTTGTGGTGGATATTGATTAGGATTTCAGAGATATACAGTAGGGTTTCGTTTGGTGGCGTGTGAGTTGGTCGTCATTTTTCTGAAGTTGTGTGTTGGTGTCACAGGCTAGGGTTGTTGAAACTGTGGTCAGTGTGTTTACGTTGTGTTGGTGGAGAAGTCGACGTGCGGACGAACTGCAACAGTGGCAATGGCTCAGTGTTGTTACGTTATGTTATTTTGTTTTGCAAGTAATTGGATGGGGGTTTGATTGCGGATGTGGTGTGTGCCATTTGTGTGTGTGTGCCTGTATTGTGTATCTGTGTAATGTTTGTGGTTCACAATTAATGGATTGTGTGTCAATATGTGTTGTTGTCGCAATGGGTGTGTGGATATTTTTGTGTGTCAGTGGTGCTGTTTGGTGTAACTGTTAAAACAGATTATAGATTATAGCTTAACAGATTATAGATTATGACTTTAATTAGAAGTTGTTAATCTATTTGGTATAGCTGTTGGATTATAGATTTAAGTTGCTGAGTATTTGGCCCACGTGTTACGATATGAAAATCCCCAAATCAAGCTACAATGTCGCTTAATCCCCAGATTTTTGGTGTTGCCGTTTTCATGTTATTGCAATTGGGTGTTTGTGGTGGATATTGATTAGGATTTCGGAGATATACGGTAGGGTTTCGTTTGGTGGCGTGTGAGTTGGTCGTCGTTTTTCCGAAGTTGTGTGTTGGTGTCACAGGGTAGGGTTGTTGAAACTGTGGTCGGTGTGTTTACGTTGTGTTGGTGGAGAAGTCGACGTGCGGACGAACTGCAACAGTGGCAATGGCTCAGTGTTGTTACGTTATGTTATTTTGTTTTGCAAGTAATTGGATGGGGGTTTGATTGCGGATGTGGTGTGTGCCATTTGTGTGTGTGTGCCTGTATTGTGTATCTGTGTAATGTTTGTGGTTCACAATTAATGGATTGTGTGTCAATATGTGTTGTTGTCGCAATGGGTGTGTGGATATTTTTGTGTGTCAGTGGTGCTGTTTGGTGTAACTGTTAAAACAGATTATAGATTATAGCTTAACAGATTATAGATTATGACTTTAATTAGAAGTTGTTAATCTATTTGGTATAGCTGTTGGATTATAGATTTAAGTTGCTGAGTAGTGTTTGTTAAATAAGCTGTGAAGTAGCTTTTTCAATTAGTTTGTATTTTTTATTATGCACTATTTGTCTACATTTTTCATAAAAAATAATAATAATATTTAATAGTTCATTTGGGTTTTTTTCTATTTTTAAAAAAATAAAAAATAAAAAAATCTAGGAGTATAACCGTGAATTAACATGTCCACAACAGAAGCTAATAATCAGAAGCAAGGGGTGAGCAGCTTCTCAGAATCAGCTTTTTTGACTTAAAATAAGTTGTTAGAATCAGAAGCTGTTTGAAATAAGTTTAACCAAACAGCCTAAAATAATTTTTTAGAAGCCAGAAGCCATAAGTTGGCTTAAAAAAGTTCCACCAAACACCCCCAGTATGTGTCCATTGATGGGGTCCCATTGGTGGGGTTTCTTTGTAGGAAGTGGGTGTTGTGTGTAAACTCATATGGGGGTTGGGGGGTGGGGAATAAAAAATGCTTGTGATATGAAGATGTTTGGTCTCCACCGTATGCAGCCAACGTGCTACTCTGTTTGTAATTTTGTGTGACCCAGTAAAAGAAGGGGTAGAAGCGACCATAATATCAAAATATAAATCAAAATAGGACCCAGTAGTGATAATGTTATCACCTATGGGATCTATCAGTATATGTGTTAATTGGTAGGACTAAATGGGGTTGCTAATGCTGATATGAGATTTTTGGATAATTTTCCCTTAAATTATAGATTGATTTTCTATGTAAAATTATAGATTAAAAAAATCTAGTGCTACTTAGAGCTGGTTTGGCATGTTTGAAAAAAGTTAAAAAGTCAAAAAATCACTATCCTATTTAAGTTCCATCATCTTATTTAAGGGATTGTTTGGGGTGTCTTAAATAAGTACACTTTTTGTTTTTTTGGACTAAAAAATTGAGGAAACAAATATAGATGTTTAGGTTAACTTTTTGACTTTTTATGAAAAAATATGTATTAAAAAATTGTATAAAGAAGTGTGTAGGAGAAGATTAGAGACGTGTGTTGTACAGCCGTACAATCTGTTGAGCCGAATTGGTGGTAAGAAATTATTGGCTACTTTTCAGGAATTGAACTAGACGGTTTTGTTCGGCTCATGGGGGCCATAATGGGTCCCATTTTGATAATCTGAACCGTTAAATGTGTAGAACTTGTCGAGTACTATATGCCTATAAAAATTACATTGTTCAGATATCGATAACTATCTGATCAGATTTATTTTGTTTTTTCAATCGTTAATTATAACACTATCCATTTTTTTATACAAAACTGATTTGATCATGTAGTTATTGATATCCGATCAATATAATTTTTTACAGACATATAGTACTCGACGAGTTCTATACATTGAACGGTTCAAATTATCAAAACGAGACCCGTGATGGGTCCCCACAGGTCGAACAACAATGTGTGAAAATTGCACCCAAACTGTGTAATTTTGTTCGGCCACATGCAACATAGAGATTGCTGAGTTGTATTTTGTGTGAAAAATTAATTTTTTAATTTTTTTTTGGTAAATAATGATAAATTTTTAACTTTTGAGTAACTTTTTGACTTTTTATCTTTTTGGAGAGATGCCATACTTGACCTAAGTCACATCACCTCTCTAAGTATATCACTTTAAACCCAACCCAAATCTAATCCATATTTTATAAAAAATTAAAAAATATACTTATTTAAATTATTCTAAACAATCCTTAAAAATAGATAGTAGGCCTTATAGAAAACGGGTTAAGTGTGCCTTTTGGTCAATATGTTGCAAAAGAAGAATGGATTGGGGCCCACAAGATGAAAGCGGAAGGAAAGAGGTTCTTTCCGTTCTACATACGTAGGTGCCGTTTGGTAACACTTATATTTTCAGTTTTCTGTTTATATTTACAAAAATTTTAAAAACTGAAATAAAAACTTGTTTGGTAAAATTTTTGACTTACCTTCAATGCTGTAATCAGGGTTGTAGAAATTGAGACCTTGAAGCTCTACGTGGGCAAAAGCTTCAATGAAGTCCACTCCACGGTTGTTGCAGAGAAGCTGAGGTTCACCCACAGTGTTGTGCACAACCTCCCCAGCAAATGGATAGTATGAAACTAAAGCTTGAGACATGGCCTTCTTCAAAACACCGACCATGGAGGCAAATGTGAACAACATTAAGCCCCCTTCTTTTCCAGTGAGTCTTGTGGTGGTGGTGGTTGGATTCTTATAACATAAGAACACAGCGACGTCGACAGGAGGCAAGAGCAAGTCAAGGTTGGAAAGCGGTAGCAAATGCTCACGCATCGGCAACCCCGCTGCCACCACTTCCGTCTTCCTCACCTCCACCACCACCAACTCTCCTTTCCCACTCATTTCTTGTTTATTTCAGTGAGAACTGGGTTGGGGATATGGGAGGCGACGACGGAAAATTTATAATGGAAAAATGCACCTGCACATAATACAGACACAGATGGGTGGGCCTTGTCTACGTACCCTGTGCCTCAATTATCACGTGTGTTGTTTTATTTTATTTATTTTATAATCGAGTATCCGAGCCAGCACCTATTCGGAGTGACGCACTTCGACTAATCCCGGGACCCTGAGCTGATTGATCAGACATAGGCATAATGGCCCGCTAGTAGCCAACTAGGGATGAGATTCCAACCAGGAAAAGATGTAGAGGCCCGCCAGTAACGGAGTGAGATTCGAACCTGAGACCTAAAGAGAAACATACTCCTAGGTCCTTAGTCCCTTACCCTCAACTAACTAGGTTACCCTTGCAGGTTACCTCAATTATCACGCTAGTAATATTTCATTAAGATTTATTGTGATTTTAGTTATAACTTTCTTGTAATTTTGTTATATAAATTGTAAAGTTAGGTATGACATTATGATATTGGTTATAATTTTAATTTAATTTTGATTCAAAACATTTTAGTTATACCTTGTTGTATTTGGTTATGACTCAATTTGTTTAATTATAACTCTAAAAGGATTCAATTATGACACTTATGATAATTAACCTTATAAATATCACAACTGGAATATGATACAACTGTGTACCCAAGGATTGATCTAGGAGGCGGGGTGTGGTCGCACTCCAAAAATTATAAAAAATATGCATATTATTCTACTAATTAGTATAAATAATTTTATGATAATTAACCTTACAAATATCACAACTTACATATGATACAACTGTGTACCAAAGGATTGATCTAGGGGGCGGGGTGCGGTTGCACTCCAAAAATTATAAAAAAATATGTATATTATTATACTAATTAGTAAAATAATTTTAAAAAATGAGAAATTATATACATTTGCCCTGCAAAATTTGAATCCTGGAACCATCAAATACCATAACATAATCTGTATGTTCTACACAATTATATATATATATATATATATATATATATATATTTGTTCAATAATAGTTTTTTTTTAAAAAAAAAATTACAGAATTATGTATGTTATTATAGTATTTTTAACTTAAAAACACAACACCCGTCGTAATGATAATAATTTACATAAAGATATTATGATTATTTTTTATAACCAAAATAATAAAATGTATATATATTTTTGGCATATTTATTTATTTTTTGTAAAAAATTTATATATTTATATTAAAAGTTATTACACAAATAATTAAGTGTATTGATGTATGAAAAAATTATATAATACTGGGTCAACCTAAAATATAGAGTTTGTTCTAGTCCTACCTTAGGCTCGATTTAAAAATTGATCAGTTAAGTAGAGAAAACAGTTAATAATAATCAATTTAAGTTTATGTTTAATAATTTGTTAAGTTACAATGGGTAGATCAAATACTAATAGTGTAGAAATTGAATTTGATTGATTTTTATGTTATACATCAATATAATTTTTAGATAATCATTTTGGTTCATGCCCAACCATCACATTGCCCACTTATTTATCTTTTAAAATGATAAAAATATTGTAAAATGTTTTATAACCAAAATAAAAAAATATGAATATATATTTGGCATATTTGTTAATATTCTGAAACTTCAATTAAGAAATTATATATTTATTCTTAAAATATGTCTAATATTAAATTATATATACATTTGAAAGAATTATTTAAGATCAGATTAAACTAGTTCGTAGATTTTATTTTTAGTATAGAACTTGATTAAAAAAGTGAAGTCTCAAAACAAATTATAATTTTCAATTTAAATTTTATGAAACTTTTATTTAATACAAATCTTCACGTAAAATGTTTTAATATTTTAAAAATAATTAATTATTTGTGAAATGAGTTACCATTATAAAAACCCTAAAAAAATTGTCTTTTACTAGTGTGAAAATTGATTAACCAAAGAATTAAATTGATGAGATATAGATTTTTTTTTTGGAAAAAAAAAAAACAATGAATGAGCTTATAATCATACACACTTAATTTTTTTTTACACCCATCACATGTATTAAAAAATTTATAATTTAGGCATAAATATTAGTACATACGAGTATACAAAAAAGAAAAAAAAATGTACAAAAGAAATTAAATGTGTTTAATTAAATCATAATATTTCGAAGGTTATGAATTTTTATCATGAATTTTAAAGATTTGAGAGCAATTATATATGGTATGAATAATATAGTAATGTAGTAAAAAGCAAGTTTTAATTTTTTTTTAAAAGGAATAAAAATTAGTGTTTCCTTTTGAAAACTATAACTTACGGAATTAATAATATTTTGAAAACTATTACTTTAATGAATTAGCCAATATTAGTTTTTAAATTTATTTTTAATCCAATAAATTCATAAATTTATTATGAGGTTTTGAATCTCCTGTAATACTCCTCACGAAAATCTCCTTTTACTAATATAATATAGAGATTTGCTAACGAAAATATTTTTGAGTGTGTCATTTTTTTTTAAAAGGAATAAAAATTAGTGTTTCCTTTTGAAAACTATAACTTACGGAATTAATAATATTTTGAAAACTATTACTTTAATGAATTAGCCAATATTAGTTTTTTAAATTTATTTTTAATTCAATAAATTCATAAATTTATTATGAGGTTTTGAATCTCCTATAATACTTCTCACGAAAATCTCCTTTTGCTTATATAATATAGAGATTTGCTAACCAAAATATTTTTGAGTGTGTCATTTATTAATTATTATTTTTTTAATTGGAAAACTTCTTTTTTGTTTGATTGTTAGGAAATAATGATTTTAGGGAATAATTTTAGGAATGGATTTAATTTGAAAAATTGAAAAAGAGTAAAATTATATATGAAACTAAGTGTGGGATTTATAAATTAATTTTTTTAATTGAAAATTTTAGAAATTGAGATTGAGCATGTGGAGCTCTCACATTCCTTCTCATTAGAAACTTCATTTTCCTTAACATATAGTATAGATGAATGGCTACTCTTGAAATTATAATTGTCGTTCATTTTTTTAAATCTAATGGGATTCAAACAAATAGTTATCGATATCGGATTATCATAATTTTTAGTATGAATATTTTACTCAACAAAAGTGAAAGATTCATATCATTAAAATCAACTCCAAAATGAACACACCAGGCTCGAATGCTCTATAAAGTTGGATGGCCAATTTAAGATAATCTAATCTCATACGGTAATACATTTTTTTGACAATAATGTGTATAATAGTGTCTTGGATGTGCATGTTTTTGCTATATTTAGGAGCAATGATTGAAACCTCCATCCCCACAAAACCCCCACAAATCTGAATCACTCATGATGTGGACCTCATACATACATGAGTGAGTCTCACACATACATAGAGGGTCAAAATCACTTTGGGGGTGTGAGATTCATCCCCAAAAGGGGTCCCAAACATTTTCCTTCACTACACATTACTCCTTTTAAACGTTATACACATTCTACATTTTAACGCCTTCTGCAATCTAAATCAATTATCACTAGGCATGTAACACGTCCTTGGACTAAATTCAAATTCTGGTAACTTTGAAGTTTGAATAATGCATCTTTAAGGTTGAGTTTACACCATAAATTTGAGAAGAGATTTTGAAAAGAAAATAAAAAAAATGTGTGAAATAAAATTATAATTTCATTCAGATTTCACCTACTTTTTTCCTTACCCCTTCCCTCTCTCTTTCTAAATTTTTACTTAAATCTATGAACCAAAGGCAACATGAATAGTGACAAAGGTGCAATTTTGGTTATGTAGTTACGAAAATAATACCATCGTTTGATGAAAATATCTTCCTAGTTCTTCCACATGTGGCCAATGTGAATCCTTCCTTATCCTTCACCTACAATGGACAAGGGGATGAGTGAACTTTCTCAATGAATGTTAAATATCCCAGATGACCAAGTCAGTCATGTCCTCTGTGCTGACTAAAAATTGGATATTTGTCAAATTAATATTTTATGGACAAAAATTTAGAAACAAAATCAAATTAAAAATCAAATATTTTAATTGATAAAAATAATGTCGTTATATTTTTAGCTCATATGTCTGATCAGTAACGTGAACTTTGAATGCATCCTTAAAAAGTGACTCTAAAAGGTGCAATTTAGTTATATGCGATTCGTTTGGGAATTAGCTAACGTGTAAAAATATAACAAGAAAAGTTGACTTCAATAATAACTTTTTGATTATTTTTTTACTTTCCAAATAATCCCGTGGTTACGAATATAAAATGATGAAAATATCTATCTTGTTCTTCCATTTGTGGCCAATGTGAATCGTTCCTTATCCTATATCTATCTTGTTCTTCCATTTGTGGCCAATGTGAATCGTTCCTTATCCTTCACATACAATGGACAAAGTGGAGATGCGTGAACTTTTCAATGAATAGGAAGACTAAAATATCGCAGATGAGCAGGTCAGTCATTTCCTCTATCCTGACTAAAAATTGGATATTTCCCAAAATTAATATTTTATAGAATTTTTTTTTAGAAAAGAACTATTTTTTAGGAATGAAATATTTTAATTGATAAAAATATTCTTATTATATTTTTAGTGATAAAATTAGACATTTAGTAATGAATTATTATATTTTTTCAATCAAAATTTTCATTTCAAAAAGTAAACTCTTTTATATAAAATTATTTTGCTACTAAAAGTGTATTTATTTATTAATGTATTTATTACAATCCCTAAAAATGCATTTTTTTAGTGTATTTATTAGTGCAAAAAATTTCACTTGGAATGAAAAGAATTAGTTTTTAAAAGGCAATAGCTTCTCTCCAATCCTCCATCTAACTAAAGAGGTACTGTTGGGCTTAGTGAGCTCACTTTTAGGCCCCATTTCGATGATCCGAACCGTTAATATCTTAGGATTCAACAAGAACAAAAAATCAAGTCGATCAAATAATAACAACCACGTGTTTGAATCAGTTTTGTGTGAAAAAAAGGACAGTGAAGAAATAAACGGTTCATACAAATTAATCCGAAAATGTGATTTTCATTATCTGATGATCTTATTTTTTGCAAGGATGTCACACTCGACAAAACCTAAAATGTGAACATTTTGAATCATCGAAGTGGGGCTCAAAAATCAGCCTACTGGGCCAAATTGCACCGTCTAGTTCGAGGGAGGACCGAAGATAATCCAAACTCTTTCTTAAACTCTTATATTTTGTAGTGAAGACATCATGTCATGATAACAATAAAATAAATTGTAAATTAAAATTTGTTGTGACCCAACCCCAGTGGCTTAGGATTGGAATCGCAACTTACTAATTTTTTTTATATTTATAGCAAATTAAACTGCGCAAACGGAAATAAAAATAATTAAACAGAAAATTATTCCATTTTACTATTTTAAT